TGCTCTACCTAGAAATCTCAGCACAACACTAGTCTAATGAATACTCGGAAAACAATGGTCAAAAATGTTTTTGCCAGACTTGCAGATTAATTCATAGGCTGGCTTGAATGATAAGAATTCCACAGGAAAAGCCGAGTCTATCTCCAGTTTCAGACTGACTGCACAAAAACAAGATCTGATTCCTGTTGGGCCAAGCTCTTTGAAAATGGAAATCAAAAGACAGGTTAGCAGGAGCAAAACTCCTTCCTCTAAGGTTTATTTGTTTTTCTGTTTGAAACAAAACAAAAACTGTCTGTGCACCCTAATTGGGACATGTGTCAAAGAGCATCCCATATGCCATTCCACCTGCCTTGAAATAAAACCAGAAGCACTGTGGTGCATCATAATGAACTTCTGTCACATGAAAATGGGGCTTGACAGGGAGAAGCATAGTGGAGACAGAGCAAAATACCTCGCCATCACAAGATAATACCCCAGTTGGCCTCTATGGGCTCTGTGTATAGTGTACCACCTAGGAGTAATTTCCAGACTTGTTAAAATAAAGATTGTCATCTCTTTCTTCACTTCTATTTTCTAACTCACAATGAACTTAATGGTGAAGATAAAATCAACTACTAGATACGATATCATCAAACTATAAACATAAAGATGGAGGATCAGTCATTTTTGCTCCTTTGTCCATACCCTTTCATGCATCCTGAAATCTGCCTCACTCCTAATGAGGCTAATCTTGTTTTGTCCTCTTGAATGCCATCTTAAGACTCTTATGCACTCTAGGCTCTGGGACAACACATTAGAGCCATATTTCCCTACCCACATGACCTTGTTTTACTCAACACGCAGTCTGATGAAGAGTTCTAAAGAACTTAAAAGTCTCTTCTCAGCTTTGTGACATTTTAGTTAGTTTTCACAGAGGTATTAGCATATTGTTGTTTTCGTCCCTAAGAGAAACACTGGAGGTAGCCAATAAATCGGAAGATGCCACCAGTTCCACAGGCACTTCTGGGTTTCTTTTCCTCTTTGTCTAGCTTAAAGGGAAGGTTTCCCCACACAGCTTCCTGGTGAATCTCTCACGGCTATCCTCCAGTTTCCCCACACATTTATATGCAACGTGCATTCATTGTTGTGTGTGTCTTGGAAGTTATTCTAGATATAAAATTTGAATCACATTGCTCTTTTTATCACCTGCTCCTTCTAGTAATATGTCTTACATGCCCTCTCCACCTCCACAAATCTGTCCTTCTGATTCACAAGGATAACACTGGAATGGTCATGCTACTAGAAGAAGAGTAGACAAATTCCAGGATTGTGGAATTTGCTTGGTTTTTCAGCTAGAACATAAAAGTTCCACCACCTAGTCAGGAATGAAATGGTGACATGGGAAGGAGACAATTACTTATCACTCCACCCCATCAGAGATAATTTGCATATTTCAGTAGGGGTGTGGGTCCCAGATTCAGTCCTTGGCATCTCGAAGCAGGAGTTGGAAAACTCATGCCTGAAATGCTGGAGAGCTGCTGCCAGTTCGTGTGGACAGTACTGAACTAGGTGGACCAAGGACCTGTAGATCCTTGCAATTTGACTTGCAATTGTTAAACTACTGAGAGTCAGAAACACTTGGTCCGCAAAAAATGATCCCGGGAAATGCCAGTGCACTAACAGCTTTGCTTGTCATCTTTCCTGTAGATGGATCTTTGGATCTTTCAGTAGCAAACTACTTGCAAGGAGGCTCAGCAGTGCAATCTTGACCAACCTAAAAAGGTTTCACTGTGCTAGCAAATCTGTAAGTGTCATTTTGTGCAACCAGAAAGCAAAAGGAAAAAGCACTCCTCGTACAAAACTGGTATACCTGGATACAAAATGCCCAAAGAAAAGGAATGAGTAAGCAGCCTTGCACAGACATGTCCAACTCTTCTCCCAGCTCAAATGCTGTGATGGGCAGAGTATCATAGCAGCACAAGAGAGCCCTCAGCTCCAGAGGCTTGTCTCACTGGGAGATCTTGATCCCTCAAGCTGAACCCTTTCACAGTGTTTTAATTTAGACTTTTAGCCTACTCTTTTCTCTGAAGATCTCAAGGTGGCTACAAGACTCTTCCCATGCTCAATTTATTCTTACAACCAAGCTGTAGAGTAGGCTTGACAGAAAGAGAAAGGATCAGAATGACCAGACAAGGCCATTTGATGAGTTCCTTGACTTTTGAACTCTATGCTCTTAGCTCGACGCTCTAACTATGCCACCACGTGCGCTCTAGGACCCTGAGCTCATTCAAGGGTAAATTCCAAATGCAATAGATGATTTTATGAGCAAACAAGCCAACATAAAGCCATAGCCCATAATTAAATTTTCCTGGATTCCTGCCTAGATGAGATATGTCTACCACTCATGTCATATCAATTGCCATGTTTTGATAAAGCCCTAGTGCAAGCTAGCTTTTCCTCTCTGCTTTCCAACACGTTTCAAAGCAAAGCAAAAAAATCATACAGCTGGAAAACTCCATTAACCACATTAATATGCTACAATCACCAAACTGGGGCCACCCTCAAAGCCTGACAAGTAGCAATGTTGACTCCAAGCTTGGGCATCCAATGATGTGCCACCTTACCATTGAAGGTTTTTAGTACGCAAAGGTAGGTAACATGGAATTCCTAGTTGAAGCTATCAGTGCATTCTGAAGTAGCTGTGTGCAGAGAAAAAATCTTTTACAGAATCTTGCTACATACATCTTCGTATTTGACGGTCAGCGGCTGCTGTTTATAATTGATGCCTTTCCCATCTCAGTCTCCACTATTCAAAAGCTTATCTCTGAAGGTCTTGTTCCTTCGCCTATGCACTGCTTCTTCCTCTCCATCATGGGAAGTTTTAAAAGCTCAAATAAAGAATAAAAAATGGTTGTGGAAAGTAATACACTTGCATAGCAGAAAACTAGTCAAGGTTGTATGAAACTCCCAGAGGTTATAAGAAACTTCCTTACCAACATCTTGGTCACCCAGCACACACACACACAGAGGGGTGGGCTATGATGCTACCATTGAAACAGTGACAGAAAATCTACAGCAACATTGAAAAAGAATTCAATCATACAATTAATTTGCACAAATTTCGGCATCAAAGAGGATGTGAGCAGCAAACTCTTTGGGGCTGCAGGAAAAGCGTGAACCACACAGTCAGCACAGAGCAAATGCCTCCCAGGCCAAGGCAGCTTAAGGATAGAAGCTAGTCATTGTTTTCAAGCAGGCAGTAGTCTCCATACAGGCTCAAGAAGGCACACAGACATTCAGCAAGCAGTACAGCAAAAGCAAGCAAGAATAAAAAGCAAGCAATACTCAGAAGCTCCAAAATTCTTAGCACACTACACGGGCAGCACACTGTTAGATGCTTTCAACATATCTCTCAACCTGCAAAAAGACTAAATGCAAGTCACCACCCCCCCAACTGAGAAATCAAATCTTAATCGCAGGGAAAAGTGATGGGATGAGCAAGCATGAATATTTGCTAACCAGCTGCTTGATTGGTAGGCTTCACAAAGGATAACATGTAGATAGAGAAAAGCAAATTGCTCTCATGGTCTATTTTTGGTATCAAATTCTATTTGTCATAAAAACAGTACCCTAGTTATCAGGAGGCAGCAGGTGCCTTTCAGGCCTTTCCTCCCCAATGCGAAGGTGAACCATGTCAGTCCTCCAGCTAGATCAGGACCACAGGTGTCCATGTCCACATCTGGACCTGGAGAACATTCTCTAGCTCTGGGTCCCTTAAGTCCAGAAATGAATTTGGGAGTGTGAGCTGAAGAAAATGGAGGCTGAAACACACAGTGCAAGAAGTGCTCTGCTGGCCATAAAAGGACCATGAAATAGAAGACCGACTTGATTGAATTGGCTACATTTCCCTGCAAGAGAACAAGATTTTGGCTTCTGTATCACAAACAGATAACAAACATACTGCAGTTTTGTGTCCATGGAAACAATCAAATTTAGGATGGGACATTACTAATTCAATTGCCCTCAGTCTTATGTATGTGAGGAAATTGTTTTAGAAATTTAAAAGGCTGTAACATTTGCATTTTGTCAAATAACAAAAGACAGCATTTCCTTCTTATCAATATAAATATGGCAATTGTTCAGGAACTAGTTTCTTTGTTTTTTGCTTTGGACAGAACCTGCGCAGACTTTGTTAAAGAGGCTGTGTCCTCAGCCAATGTATACTGTAATTTGTAAACTGCTTACAATACTATACACTGCAAATATTGATTTTGCTAGGGCTAACGGCTGAAACAAATAGATTGAAACTGCGTTAAACAAGTCCTGACCAATCCAAAGCTTCCTGCTGCCTACTAATAATTAGAGCTATTGTCACATGTCCAGATTGTCTTCTTTGCCTATAGAGGGCTTAGAGGTTTATGCACACAGAGCCCAGAGCAGCTTTTCTGGGAAAGTCTCATTCTCACAACTATGAGTAGCATGTTTCGAATTTTGGAGTTCTAGACAATCCTTTGCTGATGATATGATAACCATTTTTACATCCAATTCACAAACAAGAAGCAGGCCCTAGCAACCTAGCACAGTGTAAAAATGTGTAAAGGCACTGAATCCCCCAGCTGGGAAAAGATTAGATGCTGGTGCCTAGTTATGAATCTGAAGTTCAAAGTAATGTCTCTCCACAGGCAAATTTTCACATTGAAAATATGACGTTGCCTCCTAACACTGGATGTTGGTACCTAGGTCTTCAAAACATTGATCCAGCCTGAGATCTCAGGCCTTAAATAGCCAGTTCCGATGTCATGCACATCAGGAAGCAGCCCTGGGCAGTGCAGATTTCAACACACACAGCTGGTTAGTGTTGTTGCTTTAAAAACAAAAACAAAACATACAGAGTTAATGAAGACGGGGAGTCAACAGAGATTCTGTTGCAGTCTTTGTTGGCACAGTGGCTAATCCCACATTCCTTGGTTTAAAACAGAGTTGAGAGGTATGCAATCCAGGTCCTTCCCCTGCTTTCTTACCTGCGTGCCCGGTGAGTCATGTGCTGATGCTGCCGTGTTATAAGAGCACTTTCCCAAACTGGGCCATTGTGGCTACTTCTATACCAACTTGCAGCCAGGTGCCCTGGGTAGGCTGGGCCAGTGAAACCATGGTCCGACTCCGTCTCGGCGGCCAGCGATGATGCTGAGCTGCCCATGGCTCCCCCCAACCCCGGCTGGGCCCAGATTTATCCTAGGTTAGGTCCAAGCCAGCGGCACGAGCAGTCGGCCAGAAAGAGTGAGGAGCTGCAGCATGGATTGGTGTAAATATTCCCAACACTGGAGAAAGGGAAGCTGTTGCTGATTGGAAAAAGAAAAACACAAAACAAGAGAACAGGGAGAAGAGAGAGAGAGAGAAAGAAGGTATGACTTTTTGAAAAAAAACAATGACATGACATTTCTAAGAGTCTGTTAAAAACAGAGATGGTACCCAAAATTGCCAACATGGCATATTTCATTCAAAATTAAGCAAGCCTTTTCAAACTTGCTTGCATGGAGTGAGATGAGAAAAATGGAAGATGCTCCTCTGGGTATGTTGTCCTATTCACAAGTCTGGAAGGGTACCTTAAACGTTCCTTTCTCCAGTTCAGCACTTCTCTCTATGAAAGCTGGAAAAGGGAAGATCGACAGTTTTCAAGCCGTGTTCTGCAGAGCTCTGAAGTTTACTGCAAAGGAGGGCAACTTGTCCCCCCCCCCCAGAATATTTAGCCAAGAACTCCCATGATCCCTCACCACTAGCTATGCTAGCTAAGACTGATGGGAGCTGCAGCCCAAAACATCTGGAGAGCCACAAGTTGCCCACCCTTCGCTTACTAGAAAGCTTAATGGGGACAACCATGTGAGAAGATCAATGACAGCAGGCAAACTTCCTTAGAAGACCATTTGCCAGTTGCTCAATATCCACTGCAATCTTTAGTAGTGGGGGGGGGGGCACTGAGCACTGGTGGAGGGGCACATGCCCCTTCCTAAAGGTCAGGCCAGTGCACTGTGCAAACTGAGCAAGCTTCCTAAAACATATCCCAGAATCCTCTGTAACAGGCAGGAAGTTCCACAGCAGATGTACCAGGTTTCCTCAACAAGCAAGTTATTATGGAAAAAGTTAACTGGGGGGAGAAAGTTAGCGAACCACTGCAGTCGCCAATACAATATAAAGGGACTATTGCCCTAGCAGGATAGGAAACACTCTTCCTGTAGGTCTTAAAAAGTTAGGACCAATAAAAAGCCTATTTACACAAATTAGTCTGGAAATGGCAAAAGGGTGACTGAAGTGTGGGAGGGATTTTCCTTTTTATTCCCCAACACATGCCTATATAGCTGTATCTCGCAGGGCAAGGTCACAATCCTTTGCATGTTTACACAGGAAAAAAACTCCTGCAATTCCCAACATTTCTCGCTCAGTACTGCTGGCTGGAAAATGCTGGGAATTACAGTGCCTCTCTCTCTAAGCATGCGCAGGATTGCACTTTAAAGATAATTAACTTCTACTACACCCCTCACCCAATAGTAGTGTCTTCATCAGCAGTAGCACATGATATTTATATCTATCCCTACCTTTCTTCCCACAGTATTTCACCCTTATGACAACAACCAATAATAATAATAATAATAATAATAATAATAATAATAATAATATTGGGCGGATGACACCCAGCTCTATCTCTCATTTACATCTACTCCAGGTGAGGTGGTGGCTCTGCTGAATCAGTGCCTGGCTGAGGTAATGGGCTGGATGAGGGCCAATAAACTGAGCCTCAATCCAGATAAGACAGAAGTCCTGTTGGTGGGTGGATCGCAGTTTCAGGTAAGTGACTTTGACCTTGTCCTGGATGGGGTAGCACTCCTGCTAAAGGACAGGGTCCGCAGCTTGGGAGTGCTCCTTGACCCAGAGCTGTCACTGGAATCCCAGGTGGCGGTGGTGGCAAGGAGCGCTTTCCTACAGCTTCGGCTGATCCACCAACTGCACCCTTACCTGGACAAGCACTGCCTAGCAATGGTGATTCATGCTCTGGTAACCTCCTGGTTGGATTACTGTAATGTGCCCTATGTGGGGCTGCCCTTGAAGATGGTCCGGATACTTCAGCTGGTACAGAACAGAGCTGCCAGGTTGCTGACAGGGACCAATCGTTATTCTCATATAATGCCAGTCCTCTACCAGCTACACTGACTTCCAGTTGAAGTCCGGGCCCAATTCAAAGTACTGGTTTTAACCTATCAAGCCCTGAATGGCTTGGGACCAGGATACCTGAAGGAGCGCCTCTTCCCTTACATGCCCTCATGGTGCTTAGGAGTTGCGGGAGAGGTTTTGCACTGGGAGCCCTCTTTAAAGGAGATAAAAATAACAACTACCCGGAGCAGGGCCTTCTCTGCAGTGGCGCCCAGATTATGGAATGCACTCCCTGGAGAGGTGCACCTGGCGCCGACTTTATATTCTTTTCAGTGCCAGGTTAAAACCTTTTTATTTAATTGCTTTTAAAAATTAATATTTTTATTGTTAACAGATGCTTTTTTGTTTTGTTTTTATATAATTTTATGGAATTTGTATTGTTTTATTGTTTTTAATTGTACATTTATGAGCCACCCTGAGATGCCGAGGCATGTGGTGACGGCATATAAAAGTTTTAAATAAATATTATTACTATTTTAACCTTTGTAAGCCATCCTGAGGCATGTTTCACAATGGACGGGGTAAAAATGTTTTACTTAAATAAATAAACCCTATGAGGTAGGTTAGGTGGAAAGACTATGACAACCTCACTCAGTGAGCTCCATGGCCAAGTGGCAACGAGAACCCAGGCCTGCCAAGTTCCAGTCCAGCACTGTCACCACCACATCACACTGGTGCACCTTAACTACTTCAGACAGTGACAGACCCAAATGGAAGAGGAAGCTGGTTTATGCTGAAGAAAAGCATATCCCTTGAACACCATGGAAGAAAGAAGCAAGCACAAAGCGATCCCAGAAGGAAAAAAAGGAAATAATGTTTGTACACCTTCCGTCTGCTGCTTTCTGCTCTCCTTCCAAAGATCTGCATGGACCAGCTCTGCCAAAACATGACCAAGAGAGAGACCTATATGACACCAGCTTGCATATGTCAGATTTCCCCAGCCTGGTGCCCGTTTGTAAACGTCAACCTTTCCCAGTGGCCGTGCTGGCTGGAGATGACAGAACTCACAGTCCAACACAGCTGGAGGGTCTCAACTGTTCAGCAGGGAGACTGCAAACTTGAACTAATTGGCAAACAGTCAACAACTTTCAGCAAGAGCCATGGCTCTTCAACGTAACTCCTAGGATCTACAAAGGAGCACACAACCTTGCTTCGAGAAGTTTTACGGGGCATTCCACCAGTAGATGGGAATAAACTCTTGGTGCCAATAAGTAAATCTTAGAAGAGGCATGTTCACATTTTGGAAAGGAAGAAAAATGTGCAAAGACCAGGAAACCACCAACTATTGGTGACTGGGAAAAAGAGGTGAAAGCAGAAAGAGGGGGCACAGCCATCCAGGTAATGCCAGAGAACTGGATTTAGTCCCTAGCATTAGTTGGGGGCGGGGGTGTTAAAGCCCTGATCTACAGATAAAATCTTGTGGCTTGTGAAATCAAGTGTAATTATAAGGAGTAATTACCTCTACAAACAATAGTTTCTCATGCATAATGACATGAAACAAACAAGAATTTTACATAATGGAAGAAAATGATAGGGCCTCACTATACAGACTGGATCAGTTCAGTTGAACGTGCCCCAAAGAGTTTAGCAAAGGGTTCTTGTGGCTATGTGGGGACATCATCTTTATCCTCCAGCAGACACAGCTAAGCCAAATGTCTGAAGATGTCAATATTACATTTAAAGTACAGCAAGAGGCTAAAGAAAACTGCTTCCCCACTGGGGAAGAACCTAGATTTTGAACAGCAGATACAAGTCTGAGAATCAGCCACTCCTTCTATACTTAAAAACTGCATATATCCACAAGGTTTATGAGGAGGGTGAAACCTGTTGGCAGAGGCATTTAATTTATCTCTCATGTGCTATTTCCTCTTGAAGCAGCTGGAAGAAGATACTGTAGAGCAAAAGTCTATCCTCTCCCCACACATACCTTTCATTTCTCACTTTTTCCCACATATGGGCGCATGCACACACATGCTTCTATTTTGCAACAGCTGCAGATCCATGTTTGCAACCAAATGACTATTTCTGCCACATAGCATTTTAAGAATCACTTTGTGGATCCCAAGTTGCTCAAGTCATAGCTTAGTGTGTTAAACTTTCTGAAAATGGGGGAAACTTTGGGGATTAAATATGTATCTGAAAATAGGCATGTCTCTTAAGTAGGGATGTGGAAGTCTTTACTATCTGGATCTATGTTGGGTGGGAAAGGATCAAGTGAACAAGTAGTACAGTTAAACTAAAATTATGAGAAGGAAAGAGAGAGAGAAATTGCTCTTGCTGCATTTATTCTGGGTTGCTGTGACATGTGAAACAGATCATTATTTCATATTTAGTAGCCTGCATTTTGAGAATGAGTTCCCTGAGTTCCAGTTGCCATGTGGAAGAGAAAGCAAGCTGGAACAGCATTACCACATGGAGACACAGAATTGGAGTTGAATAGCACAACTCCAAAGCAGAGTTGTAAGTCTGCCTCTTAAGATAAGGCAAAGTAGCACCTTCAAAGTATCCATCCCTGCATTTAAGAATATATGTGAATATGTGCCAGGAACACCTGAGGCCCAGTCTATATATGCAGTAGAATGAGGCGGCACACTAGACAGTACCTTGGCAGACTGCAGGCCACAGAAAATCACTGTTAAATCATTTGTGTTATTTTTTTTAAATCCTGCAAGTAAACAAAAAAGAACTATTACCACGTCAGGGGAAAAGGTTCTAGCCCAGCCTACAGTTGCCTTGCAAGGAGTTTCAGAAAACATTTAAAAACATGTTCTTCCTGCCTGTACTCCAAAGTGGCACAGTCCTATTTTCTACATCTGAATTCTACTTATTTTCTATATATGTAGAACAGGCCTGTGTGACTACAGCTGTAATTCTGAACATCTGGGATAGGCAACTCAACACTTATAAGCCTCAACCAGCGAGGGACAGGAATCTGAGATCCTGAGCACTGTAGTCCAAAACCTCTTGTGGACACCAGGTTGCCTGCTCTTGCTATGCACACTTAGCTGGGAGAAAGGCCAGTTGAACTCAATGAGTCTTAGCACTGAGCAGATATGCATGCGAGTGCACTGCACTGCACTTGTTAGAAACAAGCAAGTGAGCCTATGCACGGTGCCAAATCTCTTGGAAATAAAGT